ACACACACACACACACACACACACACACACACACACACACACACACATGGAGGGGGATTGCTGGGTAAGATTTGCAGAAATTTTGACTCTGTGAACTTACTCAGTTCTTTCTTTCTTCCTTCTGAGAACCATAATATGTTACACATTTTGCTGTAGTTAAAGTTTAATATGAACCTCCTCATCCTGATACCACCCCCCACCATGTTTTGTTTTCACTAAATGAGTATGATTTAAATGAAGGAGTACTGAAATGTAATGACCTCTGAATGACAAGTTAATTGGATTTTTTTCTTTTTAACTCCATCTGCTCTTGGCTGATAATACCCACGCTCAGTTTCTCGAGCTCTTCTGCGTGCGCGCTCTCTTTCACGCTCTCTGCGGTGGCTCAGGAGGGACTCTGTTCCCGTCTCCGTGTCCAGGCCGTCGCGGCTGCTCACTGCATTGGCACTGCAACGAACACAGAAGGAAAACTTCAGTCAGGTTTTGAACGATGTGCCCAACACACAGAGTGCGACAAACTCACTCTGCAGCCAACACACACTCCTGAACAGACTCTAGTATCCTTCTGTCTGTTACCACGTCTGCTGGCCTGTCATTCAGCCTTAAGAAAATATGCAACTTATATCATGACTCTGTTTCAAATTCAGTCCCTCTGGCTAAAATAGCAGTTACATTGTTCTGCGGTATGTGATGCATTTTCCACTAAGTGCCATTAATGACCAGATAGCCTGAGAGGGAGCCATTCTGGACAATACTGGCATTAATGAGACCTATTGAAAGCCCAGATGGTGCCCGGAGCGTGATTGGGAGAAAGATGGAGAGAAGAGAGTGAGAAGTGGTAGATCAGGTGTGAGCAAAGCATTAGGCCAGCCTGGATATTTGAGGTTGTGTGTGGGGGCTGGGGGGAGCCTGCAGACTGTTATTCTATCAGAAGGCCTGGAAACGCGCTGGCCTCAGAGACTGGGGGTTAAGGGACTTACACCGCCACTGGGCACGAAGGAAACCTGAAGCTGGTGAGAACTCTTCTCAACCCTGTCAGTCTGTCACACACTTGGGCAAGTAGCAACACGTGCACCTTCCACCTGCATGGAAAATCACAGCAGAACTCGCGCGTCTTCGTTCAAACTATTGTATGTTCTAGGCACGAACGTGTAGACCATCATGATCCGGCTGCGTTCCAAAAACAACGCTCTCCTCACACCCCAGTGGCACTGTGTGGGGAATACATGCAAATTAAACATATTACAGAGCAGACAAGGATGCGGCGTTGGCTATGTTCGCTCAGCGGGAGACAAAACGCTCAATGAGGCATGCTTACACGCTGCCGCTGCACAAGACTGATGGCTGCACCTGGTTACAGGTCAGTGCACGTATGCAAATATGACTGAAGCTTCATGTCTGCTCAGATTGTGATGCAGTGCTTGTAGTTGTCAGGCTGTCAGCAGTGATCCAGGAGGAGATCATCGGAAGAGGCGAGACTGCAGCTGTGAACAAATGCTACCCCCGTTCAATACCCGCACCCCCCCACACCATCCCTCACCCTACTGCTACCACTCTCTTGGGAAATAGAGATGCGTGCTTTAATCCGGATTACCAGGCAGAGGCACATCAGTTGTGTCCATCCTCAGCTCCAAACACCTATTCTTCAAAGACGGCTATTCATGCGGACAAACACATGAACTGCATGAATAAAGCACAAAGAGAAAATGAAGTGGTAATAATATTCCAGCTAGTTTCAGAAAGGGGTTGAGGACTGGATTCATTTCAGATGGAGGGGAGGCTCGCAATAGGGAATACGCCACACTGCTCCTCTGAAAGAAAGACCCGCCAGTCTGACTCAGAGAGAGAAAGAGAAAGAATACAGAAGGAAGGGGGGTGGAGTGGAACGAGGCGTTGCAAGAAGAAGGGTTGTAGCAGGTTTGTTCCACAAGAGGGCAGTAGTGGAAGCTGGCTGGGAACAATAAAATCTTCAGGATGGCTGAAAGCCAAACAGCAGGGAGCAGTCCATAGAGGGCAAGAGAGAGGCGAGATGTCAAAGCTTGGATAAAGAGATACACCGAGACATGACAGATTGCATGTTCTCAATTTAGAGCCTCGCTCATTTTGCTCTCACGCTGCAGTGGCAACAGCTTTAGCCTCTTCTGCCCTTCCTACTAAATTTAGAAAGGGACTTCTCCCTGGCTGGAGCAGTGATATTTTATAATCTGCCAGTTTTAGCTCAGTCTGATCTGAGGTGAATGAATAAAATCTCAATATCTGACCTTTGAAGCGCTCATGTGTTTCTGGGTTTGGCTCGTCTTTATTAGCTCGGTCTGGATGAACGCTCTGAGTGACTGAACACAATGGGGCTCACTGAGTGCAAGTATTTGCCTGAAGATGTTTATGCAGCAAAGGCTATTTCAAGAATCAGCAGTACTGACGGCATGCACGTCGTGTTTACATAGATGGGTGGACTAACGCCTCACTTCATGGGCGAGTGGGTGGGAGGGAGCAGACGAGCAAGTGGGAGAAATTCTCACACTCTTCTATGATCCAAGATTAATGCTTCAGCACACACTTCATGTTGTATGTTCACACCTTTCAGTCATCTACACGTCCCATATGAGTTGATGATGAGTTTCACTGCTGAACTATCCACATTTTAACTAGAGAAACTGCATTTCCTGCAAAAATGCAGCGTGAATGCTTATTGCTGAAGAACCTGCTGACAATCAGCTGAAATTAGTTCACATGCTGAAATGTAGCTGAAATGGAAGTACAAGCCTAAGTTAGCAGAAGAAAGCAGAAAGAACAATTGTGCAGAATTAGGTTTAAATAAGCAGAAATGAGCATTAAAAACTAGTAAATTAGCTATAAAAGCTGCAATTAGAAAACAATAGCTGAAAAGTAGCTAAAAAGGCAGAAGGAAGCTTAAATTACCGGATGGAAGTGAAGAGCGTGCAATTGTGCCCAATTAGGCTTAAAGGAAAGAAGCTGAAAGGCACATAAAACAGCTGAAAAAACTGCTGAAATTAGCTGATTTTTAATTTTTTTATTTTTTATTTGCAGAAGGAAGCTAAAAGAAGCTGAACTGGAACAATAAGTGAAAGGAGCAGTAAAAGGTTGTAAACACATCTAAAGATATGAAGGATGTAAAATGAGCTCAATTCATTTTCTATGAGAATAAAAATGTCAGAAAAGGCTAAATATTTCAAAAAGTTGCACCAATACCAAAAGTCACAGCAGGATTCTCCTGACTGGGCAGGTTTAATATTGTGTTTAATTGTGTTGTTCATGGGAAAAAACAATGCAGATATGTTCTTGTTTTTAGTTTTCTACATCACCTTACAACCTAGCTGGTTTTTTGTTACATTTTCTTTTAAATACCATTTTATTTTCACTTGTTTAAAAAAAATCTCAATTTGTACGCATCCTTTATGATTGTCTACTGTTGTCATCACTCTCTGTTAAAATCAGGTCTCTCTTGTAAATGAGTCCCCGAGCCTCGATGGAATTAACCTGTATAAATAAAGGTTGAATGGATAATATTAATATATTTAATTCAGCTGTTCAACATGTACGTCCTAATATACCATTTGTTGAAATAGCACAACAGTAGTCGTAATAATAAATATAAACAGGATCACAATAACGTGAATGATTAATAAGAATTCACACAATTAGCACGCATGGCCTTCTGCAGAAGAAGAGGGAAGAAACAGCTCAACAAGTGCACCGGACTGTGAGCTTGAAAATCTCTGCCGACATGTCTGGGTGTTGCTGTGTGAATTCGACAAGCAGCAAACAGCCTACTCACTGGAAGGACGGGGGTCGCGAGTCTCCAATGCCCCCTGTTCTTTCGAGGGGAGGGGGAAGTTCGGGATGGCTCTCTGTGCACTGAGATCCTCCATCGGAGTGTGAACTCTCTGCTAGGACCAACTGAGAAAGAGTTGTGTAAAAACATCCCACGTTAATGATTGAGAACATACATTAGGCTTTAAGAAAAAACATCTAATATTTTATAAGACAAGCACAGTGTGTGACAATAAGACAAAAACAAACAAACACAGCATATAACCAGAGCTAAAAATTAACTGCACACACCGACAGACTGAAAATAAGCCTTCTGGAGGCACAACAACTGGAGATGCAGAGGAAATAACAGAAACTTAAATATGTTAAGATGCAGCGTAATCCATCCTTTCATCTGAGGCTGAAAACTGAAAGTTAAAGACACCCGGGCACAGACTAACAGCTGGATGGACTGAGATTATTCTAATGAAAACTTTAGGATGTGCAGGTGCCACTTTGGTGACACAAATTTTCAGCAGGAAGCACAATTTATGTTACTTTAATACTAATATTCAGTCTCTGTTACGCTGCATGCTGTCTGAGATCCTTTTAGTTCCAGATTCTCCAGTTTTGCATAGAACTGTTTTATAAAAGTATTATTTTCTTTTATAAAAGCATTATTTGTGCCAAATGACATTTTAAGAATCCTTCTATGTATTATTGTTTTTAAATACTGGTTCACAGTCAGCCGTCTCATTTTCAAACAAATTGAAGAATGTGAAACATGTTGGAACATTTTGTGTAAAATCAAAACATTAATTTTTTTAATGCCCCAGACGGTCAGACCAAGTAAATATAATTAGGTCTGTCACGATAACCAATTTTACTGGCCGATTAATTGTCTTAGAAATTATTGCGAAACGATAATATTGTTTTAAATTTGACAATAATAGTAATTATTGTCAAAATTAAGAAGGGTTTGTTAATTTGTTTTGCGTGTATTACATTTTTTTTGTTTGAACTGAAGGGCGGATAGTGAGGGAGCAAGGAGCGTGTCTCTAAGAAAAATGGGAGGGAGGCCTCTTGACGTGACATGGGCTGTCTCTCTTCGGTTCTCAAAATGTCTGATGCTCGGTGTGGTTTGATCTCTTTAGCATTTTTCACACAAAGCTTTTAATTAAAAAAATAAATAAATCAGTAAACAAGTTCTCAGCTTCTTTTTGCAGAGAAAAACAACTTTTTAGACGAAGGCACAGGTTTCAACCGTGAATATTGGAGCTTCGACAACACGGAGGTTTTTCCCGAGGTCGGCCTGTTAGCTTAGCTTCTCAGCTTAGCTGCTTTTAACAATCCAAAAACATGATTTTGGATCGTTAAATGGATTTTAAAGAGAACAGAGAAAGGAGGAAGGGGTCAGTGAAGAGCACCGGAGTTGAGCCTTTTGTCATCCAGTGTCTTCAGTAGAAAGAGAGAGACACGAAGAAACGATAAAGCCGATAAATGAAAATGAGGTCGATAATTTTCATTTACCATGCGATTAACCGATTTATCGTTTATTGCGACAGGCCTAGATATAATTACAATTTAAAGTCCTGAACTTCTTCATGGTGAAGAGGTGTGGGTCAGAAAGTGTCGGCTGACAGTCAGTGAACTGTGGTCGATATGTTTTGGGCAGTGTCGGCTGGACTCGGTCCAGACATCACAGCTAACGGTGCATGTTTAATCCTGTGGAGGGAGACTACGTGATGACGTTCCCTCAGTGATCAAGAGAGCATTCCTTTAAAATAAAAAGGTTTATTAAAAGAAACTGACACAAACTCTTTACGTGGATTGAAATCAGTCTGCCAAAATGAATCAAATGTTTGTTTTTATCAATATTTAACATCTAACAAGGTCCTCTGGATGGATTCTTTGGTTTCATCTTTTATCCAATATTGGATAAACTTAACCTTGTTAGATTTATCTACCTGGATTACTGAGCATGCATCAGGACAATATTAAAAATATTCTCTGTTCTGCTCGGCTTGGCATTGATGATGTAAATCTTTATCTAAAGTAGGCAGACTGGTTTCATTTCACAGTTTATTGTCCCCACAGGGGAACTTGAGTTTGCAGTGGTGTTTACAGTCCATAACAACAAAACACAATAACGCAGCATTATTCAGTAGTAGATCAGGGTAACTGTGGTAACACTAGTAAATATAACAGTGTTTACATCTAATGGAAGCCCCGACATGTTTACAGCCAAACGGTGAGATCAGGTCTTTAGCAGCCTCTGCAGAGGTGTTGCATGTCTACATCTGAATGATCCATGAGTGCTCCTGGTATCTTTAGTTATAGCTGAGGCTTAGCAGTAAACAGTAAAAGGAGAGGGGTAGAGGAGCGCCATCTATCTCACTTACCCAGGACACTACCCTCCCGTTGAAGCATGGCAGCTTGGCGTTGTCATCGGAAATCTCTTCTTTGACGACCCTGGAGAGCAGAAGATGCATATACAGTCAGGCTAACGGAGCAGGACAGAGTCAACGTGTGACACACCTGGAAACACGCTCCTTTCCTGCACCGGTGGCGCACACACAAAATTCACACTTTCTATGTCACACGTTCAGCATCACTGTCGGCCAACTTCGCACCGTAGAAGCTTGGTGAGCTCAAAAAGCAGCAATAACACCGAGGAGTGTGTATCTGTGATGTGTGCGCACCAAGGACGTGCACCAAGTTCCACTGCGCTCAACAAAGTTGCATCAAACAGTCAGTTTGATGACGACAGTCGGCAAGTGTTCTTTGAAGGAAACTGCACAGAAAGTGCAAGAGAAAAAAGCTGGTTAAGGACACATTCACTCGTTTGTACACTTTCAGTAAAGGAAAGGAAAATACAGAAGAGGCTCGGTTAGGTTGTGTCACGACGGAGCTTTAGGGCCACGCTAATATTTTTTAAAAAGAAATACATTGCCATTCGAAAAAGAAAAAATTAAAGCCATAAAATTACGAGAATATAGTCGTAGTATTACGAGAATAAAGTTGAATATAGTCTTACTATTACGAGAATAAAGTCGTTCGAGACTGTTTTTTTTAGTCTCGTTTATTTTATTTTTCCATGAGGCGAATCCACGACGCGACCCGTCAATCAATCCAGATGGCTTGTCAGCAAACGACCAGTCCGAAGCCAAATGCTCCTTACCTGCAGAGAGCTGCTGCAGCCCATCAGAGGTACCACCTTTGTTCAAAGTCCTGATACTGATAATAATCTGATGCTGATGTGATAACAGATTAACTATCTCTTTATTTGTAAAACCAGTACCAAAGTATAAAATAAGCTGCTCAACATTCTTCATTTTACCACAGTTAAAATGCAGTAAACCTGCTTTGTCGTGTCGGACGACTCATTTAGCTTCAGATTGGTCATTTGCTGACACGCCTACTGGACTGACTGACAGGTCGCGTTGTGGATCCGACTCGTGGAAAAAAATAATTAACGACAGATGTATAAAAAGAGAAAAAAAAAAGTCTCGTACGACTTTGTTCTCGTAATACTACGACTTTATTTTCGTAATTTTTTGGCTTTTAGGTTTTTTTTCTTAGCGTGGCATTGTAATTTTTTTTTTCCCTTAAAAAAACTTACGAGAGCTGCTAAAAAAAAATACTCTTACGAGTTTATTCTCGTAATTTTATGGCTTAAAATATTTTTTTCTTAGCGTGGCAATGTGTTATTATTTTTTAGCATGGCCCTAAAGCTCCGTTGTACTGTGTCTTTACTTTGTGCAGGGAAAGAAAAAAATCTCAAGGAATCTGGAGAGAAATGCGATGTCCAGTCAGAAAGCTTGGTCTCAGTCGCAGGACATGGGTCGTCCAACAGGACCCAAAATACAAGAACGACTGAGAACAAAACTTTGGTCCACTCTTCTGAGCCCCGATCCTGCTGAACATCTGTGGACGGAGCTGAAACATTTCATTTGGAGAAGGAACCCTTAAAACCAGAGAGAGGCAGAGCAGTTTGCTCATGAGGAGTGAACCAAAACACCTGTGGACAGGTGACGTCTCAGACTTACAGAAATCACTTGATTGACACAAAAATTTGCGGAACAAAATATTACATTAAGGGTACCACCCTTTTTGTCAAAGCCAGTTTGATTAGTTTTGATTTTACAATTAACAACTTTGCTAAACCAAAAGCAATGACTGATTTTCACGAGTTGATTTGAGACACCAAAATTCATGCCCAATAATCCAGGTATAAAATCCAGTTGATTTTAGGTAATCATTTCCTTTTTCTGTCAGTTTTAAGGTTTCTTATGACCTCTCTTTATTTTTGAATGGCTTTCCTTAACAAAAGGGAACAAACAAATGTATCTATGATCGTAGCTGCAGAAAAACTAAAACTTATTATTAACCAGAAACGGGGCACGACTCGGGCCTCACTGCGGATCGATGCGTCTGTGTGAATGTTTGATGAGAACTGTAGGTAGAAAACGCCTCAGAGCTGCTGAAACAGGGCGTCATGGAGCCGAAACGTGTATTAATAGAGTCATCCAGTGTGAAAGCCTGCCTTGGTGAGTTCGTCTTCAGCTGTGAACTCCCTACAAAAATACCTCACGGTTACCCTTTGACCTGCTGGGACACAGATCAGCTGCGATCTGTCACCACACCTGCTGGGCCCGTATCTCCTAGACGAAGTCTGGAGCCGCCAGAGACGAGCTGGTAAACACCTTCTATTGACAAGGATTTGTTTTTTCTGATTCGCTAATTATTTCTGTAGATGGCTCACATTAGCTTCTTGGCTTTGTAAGCAGTTTATAAAAAAAGGAGGAGAGGTACAACTTGAGAGCGGCAGGAAATCCTAAGAAGATTTTATGCAGGGGTGTCTTTGGCAGCGACTTTACAGCTTTAATGTTTCCACTCCTTGTTCGCCAAAATTTCCCTGCTGCTGAACTAATTAGCAAAGTTGGTTGTGGTTGTGTGTGTGTTGCTGCTGTGGGAGCTGGGAGTGGTGGACAGAGATAACACAGCCTTGTGGCTGGAAGGGTTGACCACAACTCTGTGGCATGTTCCACCTCAGAGAGGAAAAGGGAGGGAGGTGAGGGCTGACTCTGCCGGCTGCTCGTTGGGTCGGAAGTGATTGCATCCTCTCTGAAGCTGCACGGCCAGCTGTAAGGTGACTTGTGAGGATGTGGGAGTGGTCTGTACAAACAACAGCTCTTCCTAAAGTTTGCCAGGAATAAGACATGGATGAACAACACGACTGTTGCTTCACACCTTCTGAAACATCCTCCCTGCCTGCTGTAATAAGTGAAACTGCAAGAGCCAACACAAGTGAACCACTAATCTGACAACAGTTGACACGTTTAACAGCTTCCATCTGATATGAAAAGCAGACTGCATTGTGCTCCTGAACCATTAACATAGAGTCCGAACAAATGGAAACAAACTGTAACCCTGTGGATTGAGGCCTGCTGTCCAGTGAGTGATCCTGCCACTGGTCCGGCTTCTTAAAGCCGACAGTCTAAATAGGTTTAAACAGATTTATCAGGATAATGACGAGATTTACCCCAGTGATCGCAGAGCATTCTGCTCCTGGACAGATCTGTATAGCTGGGGAAGATTAGATCCATTCATTTAAGCTTTGAGAGACGCATGAGTTTAAACCAAAAATCAGAGGCTGGAGTAATGGGACCACACTGGCCAGCAGCCCAAGCTCTTTGGTGGACTGGTGCTTATAATACTATCAACAGGGAAGCGTAATATTTGTTGCAAAAGCCAACTAGAAACAGAACAGCTTACAGTCTACCTAAATAATCTGCTTAGTAAAGGTTTAAAAGGTACTTTTTTGTACTTGTTTCCAGCTACAAGTACTTGGGCGTGCACCTGAATGACAACCTCAGCTGGAGCAACAACAACACCACCAGCCTGATCAAGAAAGCTCATCAGAGACTCTACTTCCTCAGACGACTGAGGCGAGCTGGTCTGGGAAGCTCAGTCCTCACCTCCTTCTACAGGTGTGCAGTGGAGAGCATCCTGTGCTCCAGCATCAACGTGTGGCATGGAGGCTGCACAGCTGCAGAAAGAAAAGCTTTGCAGAGAGTGGTGAAGGCTGCACAGAAGATGTTGGAGTCAGCCTCCCCACCATCACAGACATCTACACCTCCAGATGCAGGAAGAGAGCCACCTGCATCATGAAGGACCCCACTCACCCAGCACACACACTTTTGGCAGAAGCTCCTCAGCCTTCTCAGGCAGAAGGCTGAGGAGCATTAAGTGCAGAACCACTAGACTGAGGAACAGCTTCTACCCTGAAGCTGTTAGACTCATGAATCTCTAACCAGAATAATCACTGTGAAAAAAACAAACTGTGAAAATCACTGTAATGCCACTTGGTTGTTGATGTGTGCTGCTGATCTCATGCTGCTGATTATTTCATGCTGCTGTGTTCATTAATCCTCATCTACTCACACAGACTCATGTTCGTGCTGCTGTTGTTTGGTGCATTGTTTTTGTACCATTAGCAGTGTTTCCCCTAGTTAGCTTGCCATGGCGGGGTGCTCAGTTCTGTTGAGGGGGTGGGGCACCCCGCCTGTATAATGGTAGGGGAAACACTGATTAGTGCTTGGTATATTCTTAGTTCATGACTTGGACCTTACTAATTTTTTCTTTACAATTTGTATTTTTGTTGGATGTAACTGGGACCCTGTGTACATAGTTTCGTTCCACCTCATGCACCATGTGTGATGTGAATGACAATAAAAATCCATGTATCCTTGTATGTTCAGGCTGCTGTTTAATACACTGTATCATAATATATTATTATTTAGTGTATATCTTAAATCCTTGTATACCTTTTTTTTAATACTTTATATTTTTTATATTTTTTGCTATTGTTGGATGTAACTGGGACTTTGAGTAGACAATTTCTTTCCACCTCATGTACCGCGATGCAAATGACAAAGAATCTTGAACCTTGAAAAGTCATTAGGACCAATCAAAAATAATTATAATGCAAGAAACAAAATCCACAAAATATTTTGTCCAATGTCAATGACTAATGTGTCCTTAACTTAAAAAAAATTGTAAGCAAAATTAGTGAACAGATGCCAACTACCATGTGTGTTTGTTTACCTACAGAAACAGCCTGAAAACAAGTAAACAATGACGCCATCGATGGAACTGCTGTCAGGACAAGTCCAACAATTTTGATATTGGTCCATATTAACAGATTTGTTGTGTTCAAGTTCAAGTCATTATTGTCGTTTCCATCACGAAGTGGAACAAAATTATGTACACGGGTATAAAGTGTAAAAGTATGCAGATGAGCATCCCTGTACTTTGGGGTCTACGGAGTGCTTTGTTTACATTCAGTGCATACCCTCATTTCATAAGTGCATATTGATTATGTGACAAAGTACTGAACTCTTAACTGCACTATTTGATATAGTTCAGGAAAACCTTCTTAAGTTTGATTTCATAGTTTGTAATGAGTACCTTTAAGCATCATGACAGGAGGACAATTGCGAAAAACGACACTCTTAATGCCCCTGTATCTTAAAATTCAGCAGCTTCAGCTACTTTTGCTTTCATGCTGTCCCTTTATGACAACTTCTATCTAATCATTACAACAGCAGGAGTGATGCTGATGATGCTGGGTGACATCGAGTTTCAGCACAGCTTTCGATTCTGTCACAATCCTCCAGTAGCAAAAACACAAAAAAGGATAAAGAAGCATATTTGTGCAAACGACTGCAGAATTTTGTCCTCCAACTACAAAGACTTAGCATCACTTTCTCAGCAGAAGAAAGACCCCCCCACCACCACCACCACCCCTCCTGATCCCCACCAGCCCCCTATTTTGTGAGTCACAAACAAGACTGCTTCTTTCAGTGCTTCAGCTTGGCTGCTTCCTCATCTCCACAGCGTCTCTGTGACTTGAATTATAGTGAGGTCTCAAACCCACTCACCACCAGAGGCAGCGAAGAAACGCCGTAACATCACCTTGAAGTTTCTGAAAAAGCCAAGTGTGTTGCTTCACAACAGACCCAGCTTAGTTAGCTTCTGCCACATGAATACTGATGAACACATGCATATTGTTGAGGGGAGGTTAACGGCTAAAGCGGAACAATCTGTTCCAAGACATATGTGTTGTTTCATTTCTGTTCCCTGTAGTGTGGAGACAAATATCACAGCTCGTGGTTACTTGTATATGGGGTTCCACAGGGACCTAAAATGGCACAATGGCTCCTGTATGTTCGGGTGTTCGGGGTGTGAATCGTTTGTCAAATTCATGTGGCCGTCTCTTCCAGAGCTGATATGGCCGGTGCAAACGTAGTTCACAAGTCTTTTAAGAGAACGCCTTTTTTCTTCCTCTGCACACCAGGGGGTCTACTACAGAAGACCCTGCACTGACTGCTCATTTACATTTCAAACACTCACTGTAACTGCAAGGGATTTAACGTTTTCCCACTCTGCTCAGCAGACTGTTCCTCCAGCAGCCATACTGTCTGTCTGGATGCAGCAGAGCCAGTATGGCTACCACAAAGCGCCGCTTTTTCCCTTTTTGCCTTTGACTGGGTTCGCTTCCATATTGTGCCAGTACCATGCGGCACCCGCAGTGCCTGAATATTCACGCTTAACTCAAAGGCTGGGATGCTTTTATGATCAGTTTGAAACGGCGCGATGTGAAAATGAAGTGCTGAGCGCACAGTCCACTTTAAAATGCTTTGTTGATGCACATGTGGGAACAGTTCGGTGTATGTGGTAATCTGGAGTCGTGTCTCCATGTGGAGAGAGCAAATATGCTTTGTTTGTTTCCATAATCTGCTTGTCGATCACCTGAGGCCCAGTGAGAAGCCCAGGCTGCAACGAAAGACCGGCAGGAAGCCAGAGCTTGGGGGGTGGGGGCAAAGCGGTCCACCAGGCCTAGGCTGCAACCAGGAAGAGCCAGTTTTCCCCCACGAGGTCAGACTGCAGTGGAAATGTGTTACGCTGGGCTCTGTGGACACTGCCTGCCTGTGCATTTCCTCCCAATAACACACGTAAATGTTCAGGGGGGTGACTGCTCAGACTGCAACGAGGATGTCGGCACAAATGTGCCATCTTCAGCACAGGTCCGACACTCGCTGACCCGAAGAACCGGAGAGCTGGTGCGACTCCTGAAAGTCAGGACAGAATCAAACGACGTGATGAAAAATAGAAAATTTATATTTCTATTATTTGCCAGAGACGGCATCCAGCAGATGTTGGGAGGACGCTCCCGTGACTTGGAATTTACACACGAATAACATAAATAAATAAGTTGCAGGAAACACATTTTACCACGAGCTTTACTTCAAACTCTACTCTGGGTAGTGAATAGTAAACAGATAAACATGCGGTTTTGTAAGAATGTAAAGGAGGATCCATCTAATAGACAGATTTGTCGTTTTTTGTAAGCAGCTTGTCTGTGAATAATTAATACTAAGCATATTGATATTGCAATATTATTACATTTAGTGTGCAATCCTATGTAGTAGCTTTAGATAAAACTTAGTTACACATGCTGTTTGCTATTAAAAAGAGATAGTTTTGTTGTGTACACATTCGACAACACAATTGGGTATAATGAGGTTTCTTAATAGGGTTAAATGACAATGAACAGGGCTGTAGGAGGCAAACAAATGTTCTATTACAGTTCATTATTTACAATTTTCTCCTTAAGCAAACATCCAAAATCCTGATTTTATTAGTGCATAAAGGAAAGCGGACACGTTTAAAAGGCGATCCTGGTTTTTAATTTCCTCAGGGATCCAGCAGCTGGAGAGGACTGATAATTAGCAGAACACAATATTCACCAACATGCTGCAACAAAAACAAGACGGGGGGCGTGAAGGGAGAGCGATTGTTGTGAAACCTGAGAAGTTTAGACACTTTCTGGGTAAAACCCTGGCCGTGTGATGAGGAGCAGAGGTCTGGCTCCGTGTAATTCATGCAGAGCTGCGTCATTAGGGCTGTGGACAGATCTGGTCCCACTTCAAACACTCGTGTTCCTCCTCCACTCACATGAGCCTGGAATAATGAGCAGGTGCCAGGAGGAGCACAGCCTCCCACAGTTCACACACAGGTAACATCATGGGCTCGGGTTGGAGCTCCCGCAGAACAGACTAATGACACCAACAACATTCAGACTGTGGCCACTTACCCAAAATCCTGGTCCATGGATTTGAAGAAGAATTTGTAGCTGTTGACCGGCCGATTGTTGAGGACATTTTTAAAATCCGCTAAGGTGACTTTCTCCGGAGAAACCGAGAGTTTGACCAGATACGGAGTCTCCTCCTCGTCTATGTGATATATGATTTTAGTCTCCGCCATGAGAGAGAGGGGAGGACAATCATTGACACGGGAAAGGAACAAGGGTTGGCAGCGCACTAAAGCAGGCCCGCGGAGCTACCAGCTACCCGGAGGACAATAATGACATAACACCTAATACTACCTAATACTACGACAGGAAACGCAGCTCCGCGGTGAAAATCCACACATAATCCCCTCCTGAGTGCCTGTATTCTTGCTACGGTGGCTCTCTCGGCACTAAAACAGGAAGGGACAGTCCACATCCCTGCTATATGGAGCGGCTGGAATATTGCTGTTTTTCTAATTGGTTAGCGAGTGCTGCCCCCTAGCGGTGAGAGTGAGCAGCGCCCCCTGGTTTACACAACAGACTGCACAGTGAGGACGGGGAACAAAGGATCTGAGCTGCTCCTGGTTTTACAGGGGCGATTCTAGAATCTGATCTTTAGGTGTGCTCAGCCCAGTGGTGGTCTAAGCGATACTCAGGTATACGGAGTATGCCCACTAAAAAAAGCTTAAGAATTTCAGTATACCCATTTAAAAGTGCTCAATGATACATGACATATCATTAGACACGTGCCATCGATATGTTAAACAGTAGTTAAACGAATTTGTAACAACCTATCTGTATGCAGCGCTTGTTTATTACATTCGCTTATCCAGCAAATTACTGTATACTTCTGTACTTACTACTTACTGATAATACTTGAACATGTTTTGCTTTGATACTGTTTTATACATTCTACAACATGTTTTTATTTTAATACAAAGCCAACTCAACAGTTTACAAAGTTTGTTGTACATTTAAAAGCATCAGAGAAATTTGGAAATGTTCAATATGCTTAAAAATCAAAATAAAATGACGATTACATTGTACTAACCAGTGTACTTTGGTTTCTAAGCACAGTATACCCACTACAAAAATGTAGACTGCACCACTGGCTCAGACCCCAGTGCTCACAATGTCTCTTGGCTTGAACAACGCGGTGGCTATTGGTGTCAGAAGCATTTGCAATGTGGGGGGACACATAAGACACATAAAAAAAAAAACCTTAAATTTGTATGAATCATTTGTGAATGTCTACTGTTGTTGTTATTATCCACTGTTGTCATCACTCTTTGATAAAATCCAGGTTTCTCTTGTAAATGAGTCCCGGTGGCTCACTGGGACTAACCTGTTTAAATAAAGGTTGAATCAATAAGGTCTGGGGGTCATCCCCCATAAAATTTTGAATAAAATAGATGCTATTTCCTGCATTCTGGTGTATTAAAAGGTTGTTAAACATCTACATGTACCTTCATAAGTAAACACTTGATTCAATAACTATTTTAGAGAGCGACAAGAAGTAGCCTGACCAACAGCCCTCCTTGTGTGAATGGAGCACAGTCTGCTTCTCTCATACATCCTAACCCCACCAAATTAACTTTGTCCTTTCTATCCACATGAGAAACGTAGTGTAGCCTAAGCTAACTTTTACATTTTCCAGACTTTATTTAGGTTTTGAAATGTAATAAACTGTATCCCAGCCTCTAAACACTCAGGGTAACGCTGTCTGAATTGCATGTTCTCCACTGACAATGTTTAACCATTTTTTTCCGATAATTTTTCATGAAATCCCTCTGACCGCAAAGCTTTCATAATGCAAAACCCTCACAATGTTGTTAGAGGAAAAGGAGGTGCAACTCCTACAGGTAAGGGGCGTTTCACTTCGGGAGAAATTGAGATTGCTGTTTGGTCAGTTGCTGACAAGGCTGCTGGATTGATTGACAGGTGGTGTTGAAGATCCGACTCGTGCAAAAAAAAAAAAAAGAATCATAGATTTTACTGGCCCGTTTAAAAGTGTCATCATTTATTCCATATTTATTCATTTCATGTTTTGGTGAAACTAAGGTTTGAGGGAAAATCATAATGATTTAAAATTTTACAGGAGTGCTGAGTTAAAATGTAGGGGGCTTGAGCACCCCCAAGAAGAGGCTAAAATTACCACTGCTGGTTTATATGTTTATTTCTCAGGAACATAGCAGGAAACAAAAAATAAGCTCGTCTACATGACAACTTGAAAGTTTGGTTACATTCTGTATCAACAACAGAAAGGACAAATATTTTATTACAATCAAAACATGTTAATTTTTTTCCAGCTTTAGTTATCTTTAAGGGAAGTTCTGTGCCATAGGTGCAAGTAATATCTTACCTGTTGTAGACAGCTCTTTGGATGGCCTTGGTTTGGAGTAAAGGAGTTTAAATTTGTCACGTCCATGTTACGTTTATTTATATAGATTTGTGGTTATTTGCAGAGTCTTCGCATGAACTACTTTGAAGTTTGTAAGAGTGGAGTTGCTTTAAGGTGTAGCAGTTCAATAAAGTATTGGTTCAGCTCCAACCTGCTGTTAGCTTGTCTGTCCAGTCAGAGTCATGGTGCATTTAATTTACACTTGGAAGTTGGAATTTCCAAGTTTTGAATGGGAAAAAAATCAACTAGAATACCTCTGCAAAGTTGGAATTTCATCTCAGAAATTTCAACATGTCTGACCAGCATTGACCCTAAAATCCAATATGGCTACAATGAACATGAAAAGTTGCTGTAATCCACTTTTTGTTTGTATCGCAGTAATTTAGTCACACACAGATCTGTCTGACCTTCATTAGTCAACACTACAGTGTTTGAATGCTAAGAAGCCAAAAAGTTCATTATCAGCTTGCATTGCTAATGTCAGACAGTCTGAGCTCAGCAACGAGCAAATCTTACCATTTTCTGACTTCCTACTGGAACGCTGTCAAGTTGGATCTGATGACATTCCTCGACCCAAGTTTCCAGTATAGAATGCAACACAAAACTATTTCACCCAGCTGTGGTCATCCAAAGAGCTTTCTACAACAGGTGAGTTATTAACTGTTCATAACTTTATAACAGAACCCCACATCAAAAGGTCTGAACTCTCAGTTTTAAATCTCAAATCTTGCTTTTCAAAATTATCTTAATTTCAAATGCATGCTCATCCAGGCACCATGTGTTCAGTTCAGAAAATCTTTCCATGTTTTTTAACAACACATCAGAAACTTATCTTCATAACTGATAGAAGGCACACACTTAAAAAAGTTTAGTGTTTAATAAGACACATCATTACTCTGGACATCCTTATTGCAGCAAACCAGCCACTCCACAAGCCAGTGTATCTCTTGTGTTAGTCCCAAGCCCGGATAAATGGTGCGGGTCGTGTCAGGAAGGGCCTCCGACGTAAAACACTTTTGCCAAAACTATAATGCGAATGGAGAAGAAGTGTGCTGATGCCCATTTTTAAGAACAAGGGTGATGTACAGAGTTGTAGCAACTACAGGGGAATTAGTTTGATGAGTCACACAATGAAGATCTGGGAGAGAGTTGTGGAAGCAAGACTTAGATGAGAGGTGACTGTGAGCAGCAGAATGGTTTCATGCCAAGAAAGAGCACCACAGATGCTTTGACGATGCTAATGGAGAAGTACAGAGAGGGTCAGAAAGAACTCCATTGTGTCTTTTTTGGATTTAGACAAAGCTTCTGACAGGGTGCTGAGGGAGGAGGTATTGCATGAGGAAATATGGAGTGTCAGAGAAGTATGTTAGACTGGTACAGGACATGTATGAGGACAGCAGGACAGTGGTGAGATGGGCTGTAGGAGTGACGGATAGCTTCAAGGTGGAGGTGGGAGTGCATCAAGGATCAGCTCTGAGCCCCTTCTTGTTTGCTCTGGTGATGGACCGACTAACAGATGAGGTCAGGCAGGAATCTCCATGGACGATGATGTTGGCAGATGATGTCATGTTCTGTGGTGAGAACAGGGAACAAGTGGAAGAGAACTTGGAGAGGTGGAGGTATGCACTTGAAAGAAGAAAAAAATCTGTCATAATAAGACAGAGTACATGTGTGTGAATGAGAGGGAGTCCGGTGGAACAGTGAGGCTACAAGTAGCAGAGTTCACAAAGGTGCAGGACTTCAAGTACTTGGGGTCCACTGTCCAGGAAAATGTGGATTGTGGTAAAGAGGTGAAGAAGAGAGTTCAACCAGGATGGAGAAAAGTTTTAGGAGTGATTTGTGACAAAAGAGTGTCAGCAAAGGTCAAAGTAAACGTTTACAAGACAGTTGTGAGACCAGTTACGTTGTATGGTCTGGAGACAGTGGCATTGACAAAAAGACAGGAGAAAGAACTGGAAGTGGCAGAAATGAAGATGTTGAGGTTCTCCTAAGGAGTGACAAGGATGGATAAGATTAGGAATGAGATCAGAGGTACAGCACAGGTTGCACAACTGGAAGATAAAGTTAGAGAGACCAGACTGAGATGGTTTGGACATGTCCAGAGGAGGGACAGTGGGTATACTGGTAGAAGGATGTTAGAAATGCAGCTGTCAGGAAAAAGACAGAGGAGATATATGGATGCAGTTAGAGAGGACATGGAGGTAGTTGGAGTGAGGACAGAGGATGCAGAGGACAGAGTGAGGTGGAGGAGGATGACTCGCTGTGGTGACCCTGAAGAGCCCTGTTTTATTTTAACAAAAACTGAAAAAAGAAGAGGAATCCAGTTAAAACCAACTGAAAGAGAGTAAAACAGGTTTTTATCTGCATTATTTTTATTTTCTTACTTTAGTGACTTACACTTACATTTTTTAATGTCTTATTCTCTGTTTTGACTTTATTTTAAGTATTTAAATGTGAGTATTCTAGTGTACCACAGTATGGTCAACTCAAAGTAGTTTCAATGTGCTTTATAAATAAAGTTAATTCAATTTTATTGCAAGAAATGTGTGGCATTACTTCTTGGACATTCTCTGAAAGCTTACTTATATCAAAATTAACATCTGAAATGTAAATACACATGTTTTACAAACTACAGTACAGCAGAATTGTGTCCACTAAAAAGTATGAAATGTGAACAGTTAGTAAGAGCTTACCAGTCTAGAAGTATGCTATGCTAGAAGAGCAAATCTCGATTACCTGAATGCATTTAATCAAATGAACAAACGGTAAATGGAAAGCAAACATTTAACAACCAACTGAAGAATGCAAAGACTAAAAATCAAATAATCAAGTATCTCTAACTGTGTAAGTGTAAGGCAAAAGAAAAAGCGATGCCTTCCGGTGAACAGGTTAGTGTGCTCAGGTTACAGCAGAGGGAGCATTCCTCCTGTCCTCTCCTGTACGTTTGTTTTCCCCTCCGTGGTCCTTCATTCGGTTTGTTGCCCTGGACCTGCCAGCAGCTTCTCAGAAATATCACGCTCACTTCCACATCCTTCCATCTAACTCTGAAAGAAAAGTTACGAGTCATTAAAACCAAGCGTCCTGTGGTTCTCGGAGGCGACAGCGTGGCTGCAGTGATGGTTCAGTGAAACGCAGTAAAGGTCTCACCCTTATTGCAGTCTTTGGTCATATCTGTCTCCTTCAGTAGGTTGTTTTTAAATTCTGCACAAATAATTATCAGCACACAGGTCACAAGACAGCAAGCGAATTAACTTGATGTTAACACTCATCACCTTGAGGGTTTACCTCACCTGAATTCAAAGGGTGCTGGTTACAAGTCTTCACCTCTGAGTAGTCTAATGTCATTTCCCCTCCACTGGCCACGATTCCCCTGAACAATGAGCAAGTGCTCTAATTACTTTCAGCATATATGGAAAACATGATTGTATTATTTATAATATAACATCTTACCTAACAGATCCACCCTGTTCAAACTCCAGCCCTGAAACAGACAGAGATCATAATGAATATTCTCTTTTATGGTAACAAAACAGGGATAAAATGCTGGGAGGTGAGTTAAATATAAATAATTTACCTCTCTTTTTGCGTCTCCTAGTCAAAAGCACAACAGCGATAACAATGAACGCCAGCAGTAGGAATGTTGCCAAGAAGTAGCCCAGATGCTGCACAAAATAATTTCGTTGTTCGGGGAGGAAGAAGTTGACCACATGTGGACCCTCCCTGTGTGGTGAAAGGACTTCGGTCCCTGAAAGCAGCACACCAACATTATTATTATTATTATTATTATTAATCATTAACCAACATATTGGCTGTCTTGCATGTTTACCAAATTTAGAAGAGTTAACCATTACACACACAAAAAAAGAAAACCTAGCAAACCCCTCAGTGGAGTAACAGTAACTAGAAAGTTCCTGGAGAAACTTTGACGGGGCCTGCCACGCTGTTGCCAATTTAAAGTTTTGATTTGACAGTACTGTGTGCTGGGGTTTGCTCTCAGCTACCACTATACCAAATTTCAGCTCAATATGGCAAAAGAATCAATGAGGTATAGTCATTTTTTCCATTTGGCTAAGGCAGCCATCTTGGATTTTTTTATTTGGCTTCAGTATGTGATCGGGAACATTCTCGGCTAAAACTTCACCAAATTTCAGCTATGTGTAAGAATAGCTGAGTTAAATCTATTTAAATGTGGATTTGGCAGCCATCTTGAACTTTTTAGCTTTGAATTCAGTATTTCATGAGCATTGCTGTCAGGTACCAACACACCAAATTTTAGCTGAATATTTCTAAAAACGTCTGAGTTATTGTATTTTTTCCCTTTTAGCTGAAGCAGCCATCTTGGATATTTGAATTGCATTAGGAATGTATAACAAGTCGCTCTCAGCTACAACCATACTACATTTCAGCTCAGTTGCGTAAAGAATGACTGAGTTTTTGTCAATTTTCTGTTTGCTGAGGTAGCTGTGGCAGCCATCTTGAATCAAAATGGCTCCAAACGTTAATCAGTTCTAGAGATGCATTTGTTGATTACTTCCTGTGAGTTTCAAACAAGAATTCATAAGTCCTAATGCCAAACCAGCCATACTGGTGAAAAGATAACAAAAATGCCTACGTTTTGATATATAATATATAAGTGTATCTTAAAAGATGTGGTGATAGGAAGAGTTTGTTCAATGACTTTATGATTTATCTTCAGAGACCTCTCCACTTGTTCATGTGACTTCAGAGCTTCAGTTAGAGGGTGACAAGTGTTCCTTCAGGCATTTTGTATGGGAAAAATTGTGTCTTTATTTGCAAATTAAGTTGCCATGGCAACTCGAAATGCCAATAAAAATAATAATAGCACACATCACGGCACCAAACTCGTTGTTTGGATATAACATTTGTGGGGGTACACATTGCGGTTCAGGCCGCATTAAAGTTGATGAAAGAGTAAGATATAAAGTTAAGAAACCTGAGTCAGGTGGATAATAATAGGTGCCTGCCTCATAGGCAGTCCCCAAATAAAAGACTTGGCGCTCCAACATTCATAATCTTTCCAACAATAATTTGTAGCTGACATTTAAGTTGACAAAATGTTTACATTTTGATGTATAAATTGTACAAAAAGTCTGAAGAAAGCCAAGATCAAAAGAAATGATAACGCTGCTTTGGCTTTGTGGGGTCACCATGGTAACACACACCTGTGTCTCTCACTCCCTGACAGGTCTCACTCTTTAAAAGAAAAGCCAAGCAGAAATTGAGCTTCAAACTCCCTCTGTGCAAACGGTATTGACATTTTCCGAATCACAAGTGGCTGAATCGTCTAGTTAAATTTTTTAACACGAGTTGATTTGCTGTCTACGGTGTTTTACGTGGAAGACATGACGAGTAAAAAGACCCTTCGCTTCCAGTTCTGATGAGAAAGTTTTGAGCTCCGAGGGAAGTGGATGAGTTTGGATTTGTGCGTTCTGCATTCTGGTGAAATGTCATGGAAAGCCACATGTCCCATAGCAGTGAGAGACACACTGAGTGAGGGGAGACAAAAAAAATGTCCAAGTCTTGGTGTATAAACTGTACAGGAAGGTTATAAGAATAAGACATTTTGTTTGAGAAAGTTTAGACAGCTCAGAAGTTAGGTGTGAGACATCATTGAGCTTAAAGTTGGACATTCTTGGTAAAATCTCCAAAATTCACTAAACTTAAACTGAAATAGTGCAAACTCCACTTTTCTGTTGCTGTTCTATACTTTAAACAATATTTCTTCTGTGACGTCTGCGCTAAAGAGCTTTAAACAGGGTTGGGTTTTCTCACTTGGTTCATTAGAGTTTTATTGGTTTGAATGTTGTTGTTTTTTTTGTAAAATTTGTCTCCACTGTGCAATGTACAGTTTTTGTTTGTGGCTTTCCAAACAGGAAGAGTGGCAAATCAAAAATTGTGTCACAAACTAAAAACGGGCAAATAGTAACAAAAGGGTGCTTTAATGCTTCTTACTCCTTGGCATCCTTAATAACATTACACTGAGGGATTATGCTCATGTTTTAAATATTCGTGCATAATAACACCAAACAAGTTGCAACAGTGTTTCTGTTCTCTCTGGGGGCAATCTTTTGTTCCTCACTTTGTTTCAAAACGCCAGAAACAGCAGGAGGGAGAGCAGAGAGTTAAATGTCAGAAAGCTGCTCAGCTGTAATGACTTCCAGACCTGATGTCATGCAGCTGTTCTTTTTTTATTTTTTCTTCCGAGGAAAGAAAACACACAGGCTGACCAGAAAAGAAGAGAAGTGTGAGGAAACCGAGGCAAAGTCTGTAATGTGGTCAGTCTTCACTGCTTTAGTTTTCCATCGAAGGCTGTTTAAGTCGTCTCACAAACACACACGTCTGGTTTTTGCAGAAAAAACTGAATTATTCAGTTCGTAGGCAAACTATGAACCAAAGCTTAGTGGACTCTGTGGATTATTAAACATCAGCATGACCACACGCTGACCTCAAGTGCAGTAAATGACCCAATATACTGAATTTTTACCTGAAAGATGAAGTTATAACTTATATCTATCTGTAAAGCAGCTAATTTAAATAAAACCAACACATCTGATTTACTAATGAGGAAACCACTTGTGCTTTTAAAAACCAGCCAATCAAGGGGAAAAAACACTTAAGATGGCAATCATGCACCCCCCAGAGGCAACTAATTATCAGCTGTCATTGTAAAATGTACCTAATATGCATGAAAATGGAGGCATGTCTGATGGGATTTTTCTCTAACTGACCAAAAGATACATTGAAGTAGCAACCCATTAGCATCATTTTGACAGATCTGACATGTCTGTTTCACATGTTCGGCTCAGAGAAGAGCCCTTTATAATTCATTTTACCTGGTAGGACATGCATCATTAGCAAGTCAATGAACTGAAGAAAAATCTTCAATCTCAAAAGATGCCGATTCCAGCTGAAATGTTGACATCCTGCAAAATGTTTTCTTTGTGATAAAAGGTATTTTTGTTTTTGACAGGAATAATTGCAGTGGAAAGCTCTCGTGACATTTGTTGTTTCAGACAAACTTGGGGGAGTGAAAAGCAATTTGGTTTTAATCTATGATCAGGGAAGCAAAAGACGAGCTGCATTCCTCGTTGAATTTCACATCTGTCCACGTGTGCATTTCTTTTTGGTTTAGCTTGTGTTAAAAGGAGGAGGATCTATAGTCTTAACACGTAAATTCATCCCCTTCACCAGCTTTTCTCTTTCATGTAGCAGCCGGTCCAAATGTTGAACAGATGTTTAAGACTTCCTCTCACTGCTGGTAAACATGCCTCTACCAGAGGCTGATACACATCAGCAGAGAACTGCTAAAGTCAGGACAAACAAAACTCCAGATACCAAACCAGTCTAGACTGCTGGTCGGGACATTTTTTTAAGGAAATTATGCTAAATGGAGAACACTGGATCTGAGCACGATCTCAGAATTTTACAAGATATTTGGAACCTACTCCTCTGCTCAGAGAAGACACAAAAGAAGCTGTAGACTGTTTACCGTAGGTCCTCAAGCAAAAACTGCAGTTAAACAACACCCAAAACTTCTGCTTTTACATGGTTGAATTAGGAGTCAACAAGGTTTTGGTTTCCCTTCCTTCTCTTTTTTCCTTTACATTCCTCCCACCTCCTCCTCCTTAGCTCAAATACAAAAACAGAGAGGGCTGAGGATAAAATTGGCACGAAAAGAAACTGATTCAACTGACCAACTATGCCTATAAATATAGCAAAAATACAAAATAAAGTTTTCCACTCCCTCTATGAAAAAGTCTTCCTACAACCCGCATGGGGAATTTAGGAACAGTAGATTCTAGAAAAAACATTCCAGAAACCTAGATGGTAAAAAAAATAAATAAATAAAAATAAAATAAAACCTATTTGTGATCCTGTGAGTTGTAGTGAGGGTACAAACAGGTGGAAGAGAGCATGAAGAGGTAGAGTTAAACAAGGTAAAATCCAAAACAATTTCTGTTTTTGTATTTCTGTTGCATGCTTCGGTATTTGTTGTTGCTGGGTTTTTTTTTTTTTTTGGGGGGGGGGGGGGGGGGGGGGGGGGGGCGAGGGGTTTTTTTCCTCATTGGAGGATTTTTTGTATTTTTGTTATTTTGTATGGTTTG